TCTCCTTTTTGACGCACAGTGTAGACCTGCACTTTAGCTAACCGTTCACCTTCCAAAAGATGATGACAAACCATTCTACAATAGAAGGTTTCGAAATACACAGAAAAATCACCAAAAATGGTATTTAATGAACCTGAAGGACAGTGTTGCGGCGTCATCAGAAATGTAAGCTGTACGAGCTGGATACTCTATGCGGCCAACATGATCCGAATTATCGGCGTATTTTCGTGCGGAGTACGGAAACGACTAAAAACAAGAGTAGAATTGGAAGTTAGATAAATCTGGTGACCGTGAAAAAACCAATGTGAGGCTCCAAAATTTTTTATCGCGAAAACTTGAAGACTACTTGCAAAGGTGCAAAAACTCCAACGTGGCATTTTAGGCTACACCAATGCTCTAAAATGGTAGTGGAGCTAGGAAACAACAATGAACATCTTCAGCACTGGACCTTGACATAAATTTGATACTGCGGACTTGTCATCGTGCGATGGCAACAAAAAAACTTTTAAATTTCTTCTCCGGGTCCGGCAAATCAAACAGTCAAAGCATGTTCATACAGTCCATATATCGTCATCTGAGTAGGCGTGCCACCTAAAAGGACGTGGCTGCCGCTGCACTTGATAAGTAGCGTGGATAAGCTGTTCGCAGCAAACTTGGCTGATTCAGACGAACTATTTTGGGAACAGCTTATCCGTGCGACTTTTTTTATTAAGTATGACAGCCGCCACGTCAAATCCGGTAACACGCCTACTCCCACGGCGAGATAAGGCCTGTAATCGCGATTTCTGAATTCGCTAGGAACAAGTTGTACAGATACGTCACATCGGCACAGGAGTTCCACTTATGAGTTAGCCCAAATGCAATAAAAAAACGAACATTTGTAAAATGTCACAAAAAATCACCTTTCCACGAGCCTTGAGAAATCTTCTATAGGCCAGGCTACGATAAAGAACATGTCTATCCCCTGTCTTTTTGAACACGGCTAAGGTACCGATCGAGAAATGAAAATTTCGGATATCTTCGCACTGACGGATCTAAAAAATAATATTGCCGACGAGTCCAAAATCAAAATAATACGAAGACCACTGCTCTCACGTTGTCTTCAATAGCATTTCTGGATAACAGCGCTTCGATAAGACTACATAGGCGTTCCTTTCTCTCTCGTGGCGTCCTCTGAACTGGAGATCGTCTAGGCGTCCAGGGCCACACCAGAGGTGGTTCATCTTCACCAAAAGTGAAAGAGGGGACAGCCTAAAAAGCGAAAACCAAATTAGTAACGAAGAAAACAGCCTTGTCACAACAGACTAAGTGAGCAATACTGCAATTATATTCGCAGTTATGAACATAGCTATAAAATACTATAGAATAACCAGCTATAAAATACTATAGAATAATCACTGATTCATGAATGGAGCGTTTACCAACCGACCGTCCGACTCGAACGCATCGCGAGAAAATGGAGCTGCATTGGGTGTTTAAGTTGCGTCAATTTATAAATAACGATGCAATAACAACGGATAAGCTCACTAAGCCACGCATGAAGCCTATAGAAAATATGCGAAAATAGGATCAATTTGAAAATGAAAGAATGCACTGCAACGAAAAAGTTTCAAAACATCGTGTACGGGTAATAACATTGGAGCAGTATTCAGCGAATTTTCCAACCCTAACTTTTTCCTAATGTGGAAATCAAAGAAAACTGTAATCAACTGGCTGTTCAGGAACGTGAAAATTACAGCAAATGGTGTGGGGTGCAGGACTATTAGGCCGATGTCAGACTTTGCGAATCGCGCGATTCGCTAGCGTCTGCGGTCGCGTCGCGGCCAGTGAATCACTCAATTGGCTGGTACCGCAACGCGACCGCGGACGCTAGCGAATCGCGCGATTCGCAAAGTCTGACATCGGCTCTTCAAATACGGGTGAAATTAAAAAGGATTCCTTGCGGGCACGACTGCAGCTCCGCGAGGAAGAAGACCCAAATTCCGGTGAAGTTTGCTAGGACTGAGAGCAACTTTTTCGCCTTTCACAGCGCAAAATTCTTTGCTGCAGGAATTTCAGCCACCCCTGGTCATGGTTGGACCTGGGGTTTCCGCAGCGAAAAATTTCCGCGTTGTGAAAAGTGAAAGTCGTTCCCTGTCCGTTTTCTGTCATACTACACTCGTCAAATCCATGTGCGGCCATTCGCATAAGAACTGCTAACAACTGTTTGTAGATATGTCAACATAGATTAAAATGATTACCAGTTTCGATCTTACTTCTTCGAACGGCACCACAACGATTTTGTTCTGTATTTTACAATAAGCAACTCACTCTGTCGGCAAATGCCATCCGATACAGAAGGTTACGACGAAGATAAGGCTGGAAGACTGGCCGCGTTCCAGCATCTAATGTCGACATAGCTTTGTACGTACGAAGAGATGCTTGAATAGAGCTCATTGGTTAAAATGAAAATGTGAACAATTTGACAAACTGCAACTCACACAGCATCCTGTCGCGAAAATCCGATGAAGTCATTCCATTCAAAGCATGTGCAGTTAATTCCTTCTGTAAGCAGCCTAGTTTTGCAGATGTAATGTCTACGAGAAGAAGATGACTTACCAGATGTTCATTTGAATCTCGAACACGGCTATTCTCATCAACATTTTCTTCGGATTTCAGGATGGAACCATTTATGCTGAAATGTTGTACATGCTGTATCTCGTCGACGGACATGTCGCAATTGCACACTTAGTATGTGGCATCACCACGCATCGGATCAATAGCGTTGAAAAGCACACGTGATATCGGTTTTTTATCGAGGCCATCGCCACTTGCGTCACGTGAGCTGCCTCACCGCGGGAAACAATATAGAAGCAGTTCTTAAAAAGACGATAAGGTAGTAACCACACCTTCGTTTCGTTGCAGCGGCATCCTTCAAAATCCTCGTTTTGTTCTGTAATAAGAACAGGTTTTTTTTTACATAAGCTGAAGTCTCAAAATTATGATATTCCCTCTTGATTAAGTGTGGTTGTCCCAAAAATATTCGCACATTTTTGTATTCGAAGTTCAAAAAAATCCCCAATAATATCGAAATTGGGACAATGAGCAGTAAAAATAACATTGAGCACATAGCACTTACAAGCCAAGTGGGGATGAGACGAGGCAAAAAAAATTTTTTGGGAACTTTTCCCCTTTGAGTATCGAAGCTCCTGATCACGAATATGACATTCATTTCAGGCGCTTCCATAACCCCACGCAATTTCAGTAAAAAAAATTCTTAGCCCCATCTAACCTTTTCTGGAGTTGTAACAGTGCAATAGTGCCTAACACTGCGCAATTTTACTCTCAGGCCGGTGTGAGAGTCCGTGATTCGTCGCGACTCGCGCGACGCACGACGGATGTGAACCTCTGGACGCAGCTTTACCCAATAATTTCGCCTGCGGTCTCTTTGTTGAGCGTCAAAGACCATGAAATTTTTTTAATATTAAAGTTTTGCTGCATGAATTTCGAGCGGTTAGCAATGCGATCGGAACTAAGCGTTACATATGCTCTGCAGTTCCTCTGTGCTATTCGAGTGAGAAGAGTTTCAGGGGTCTGTCGTCGTCAGGGAAGGGGCGCATGATTTCGATATTGTTCGAGCTCGAATCGAATGGAAATGAAAGACTTTCATGTTTGCTGCGCTTTCAGCGATATCAAAATGGTGCGACTCTACGTTGAAGGGAAGGAGAGAAGGGAGGGAGAGAGCAGGCAGGCGCTGCTGTCGCGCACGGGAGCTTACTCCCGCTGTCTTTCAACAAGGGAGTGTAAACTCGCCCATAAGTTTTCCATGTCAAATGACTCCGTCCTTATCGCCCACCCCCATCCGTTTAACTATGACCTGACTCGAAGGTTTACTCGATTCCAACTATAGGACGCGTAAGCCGGCGACTGCCACCACCTACGGTGTTTTACGGTTGTTTTGACACATGACTGACTCCTTTGATTGTTAATAGTCAAGCGGTCCAATGAAGTGTAATCCCTAATAAACAATGATAATAGTAAACTAAATGGACAAATTGGGAGAGAATCGAAAAAAGGTTAGGAAATAGTGCATAAATTAAGCTCGTGGTGCTCATGAGGAAACTGAGCTGCGATTTCAGCATCTCTTTTAATTGATTAATTGTTGTTCTTCTAGAATTTTAGGTGTTGTTATAGTATGCAGCCCCGAAGAAAAGGTTAATGGAATCTCCTCTGTCTTTTCAAGCATCACCCAGATTGGTGAAACTTTTATTAGGCCAACATTTCGTCGTCTTTGCTTCGGTTAGAGCCTGAAATGGCCAAAGAAGATTTGCACGCTAAGCCGCCCTAACATTCACTAAACTAGTAAACAACCTCAAATATCACTGCGCTTGAAGCCACATATGAATGTTTCACGAACATAAATCCTTGCTTAACATCTTCGATTTACTATCTCACAAATAATGACGACACTACAGGAAAGCCTGGGCTTCATTTAGGTGTGCAGGCGAATACTACAAACAGCTCAGGGGCCTGGCTATGGAGCAACGTCTAGCTTCCGCATTAGCAGTAGTGTTTATGTCCAAAGTAGATAAACCCTTTCTAGATCGTAGATCTATCCTTTACTACCGATATGTTGACGGCTGTCTCTGACTCATGCAATCAACAGTAATCTACTCGATCCACTGCCGGAGCTGTGGCAGTACATAGGAGACGGAGTTCATTCATGTTAACTTCATGTGTGGGTTAAGGCAACATCTGGGAAGCTCAAAAGATCTCAAACCCACACTCCACTGGAAGCCCACTGCAACCAATATCATGGTGGCAGCAAGAGCCCGAGATCATGGCGTGCAAGACATTGGAGGCATCCTCGATTACTGCCAACCCCCCCCCACCACCACCACAATGAATAGGAAAAAGAATTGTGTGGCATAACTCGTGAGCTCGCTCTCTTTCTTAATCTTTGTAGACTTTGAACTACCACGAGGTCAAGGGGTGGTTCTGTTAGGCACTACTCCAGGTTAGTCAGTTACAGGGTAACTGATCCCACTCCCGACGGCTTAGATCAAGAAGAGCCACTCAAGCTGCTGTCGATCAATGCCTTGGGTGGTTTTCCAGGCTAGTGTTATTGTCTTTCCTAATGTCAAGCCGTTAGGAGGAGAAGCTTCACTTATTTTTTTGGCCATTTCGAGCAATAACGAAGGCAAAGACGCCGAAATGTTGACCTAATGAAAGTTCTAGGCCGATGTCAGACTTTGCGAATCGAGCGATTCGCTAGCGTCTGCGGTCGCGTCGCGGCCAGTGAATCACTCAATTGGCTGGTACCGCAACGCGACCGCGGACGCTAGCGAATCGCGCGATTCGCAAAGTCTGACATCGGCCTTTACCGATCCGTAAGGCTTCAAGAGACAGAGGATGATAATCCCCCAATATTGAAAAAGTCGAAATTGGACCATTCGGGAAATCGCCGAATGAGAGAATAGAAAAAGATGAAATAAGAGAAATCGTTGAAAAGGAGTTTAAAAAGAATCAATTTTGTTGCCTACACCATATGAGCGTTTCGCCAAGCGCAATAGCGATCGCCTACCCGCCTAATCGATAGG